TCAAGTTCAGTACAGTGATGGCAATACATGCCACGTTCAAGAATATACCGCACGAGGCCTGAATGTGATATGGATATTAGTCATGAATAGAAAGTGGAAATTTAAGACATAAAGAAGTATTAGAGTTTAAGATGTCCAAAAAAGCTAATGTGCGCACAGCTGGCACATGGGCAGTTTCTGCACCATTTTTGGGTTCAACCTCGCCAGCTTTTTTAAAGAATGGTGCTAGTGTCACCAATTTACAATTTTCTCCACTGCTTGTTTGTGAGGCAGACTCGGTAAATTTATAGGAAACAGTGGATTTTCAAGACTCAGTCTCACTCAAACTCACCATATCCAGCATGCTCATTGCTCCAGTTTCATAAACTATTGCATTTGGTGGGGATGCCATCGGTAGCATAAACGAAAATGAAGGACCGATTGTAGCTGGTAATGCAAGATAGAGCGGATGAACACGAGCATTTTTTGCCGGGAAAAGTGTCATATCTAGCTTGGAAATCGCAACAAAGCTCACCAAACACTTACTATATCAAAGACGATTGGTACAATAACGCTAGCTGTAGCAGTATTTGTGGAGAATTCGGTAAGGCTGACCGCGCATACACTGATAAAAACCTAAACAATGCATTTGTTATGGATAAAGCCGGCAGTCTTCATTTCCTGCGATACCTGCATGGCAAATTTTGGAAAGGCAGAAATTATTGTCTGTAGTCTACATGCCAATAATGATGAAAGACCGCTTTCCTAAACAGAAAAACCATGACTATGGGTTACTGGTGTAAATTTGACAAGGGGAGAGGGAGAAGCTAAATATTATATTCACTTGCTGGGTAGAAGTAGACTTATGGATAGGTAAGAACTACCTTTTATATCGTTTTTGAAGTTTGACATCTGAAAAGATCTACAATTAATTCATTTTCAGCACTACCAGATGATGGTTTATGCACTATTGATAGGTATAATGTAGCTGACTAATGATGTTGCAAGCATGACATACCCAGCTAAGAGATGCGCTAGATGCGAAAAAATGCATAGTTCTCCTTATAATTGCTAGAGATCGTGAAATTCGGAATCTAAAGTAAAAAGGAAGAAAATACAAAGCGTTAGGAAGCATGTCGCAACATGCTTTGAGCGCAACCCCCTTAC